GAGAGAGAGAGAGAGAGAGAGCGGAAGGAGAGAAAGAGGAGAGAGGACGGAGATGAGAAAGGAGAGAGGAAGGAGAGAAAGAGAGAGAGAGAGAGAGAGAGAGAGGAGACGAGAGAGGCACGAGAGAGAGAGAGAGGAGAGAGAGAGAGAGAGAGAGATGAAGGAAGAGAGAGAGAGAGATGAGAGAGAGAGAGAGAAGAGAGACCTGAGAGCGCGAGAGAGACAGAGGAGAGAGAGAGAGAGAGAGAGGAGGATGAGAGAGAGAGAGAAGGAGAGAGAGAGAGAGAGAAGGAGAGAGAGAGAGAGAGAACAAGGAGAGAGAGAGAGAGAGGAAGGACGCGAGAGAGAGAGAGAGGAAGGAGAGAGAGACGAGAAGAGGAAGGAGAGAGAGAGAGAGAGCGGAAGGAGAGAGCGAGAGCAGAGGAAGGAGAGAGAGAGAGAGAGAGGAAGGAGAGAAGAGAGAGAGAGAGGAAGGAGAGAGAGAGAGAGGGGGAGGGGTGAAGGAGAGAGAGAGAGAGAGGAAGGAGAGAGAGGAAGGAAGAGAGAGATGAGAGGAAGAGAGAGAGAGAGAGAGGAGGAGGAGAGAGAGAGAGGAAGAGACGAGGAGAGAGAGGAAGGAGCGAGAGAGAGAGAGAGAAGAGAAGAGAGAGAGAGAGGAAAGAAAGAGAGAGAGAGGATGAGAGAGAGACGAACGATACAGAGAGAGAGAGAGAGAGAGAGAGAGAGAGTAAGGGAATGAGAGATATAGAGAGAGAAAGGGTAGGGAAAAGGAGTGAAAGAAAAATAGAAAGAAATAAAGTAAGAGAATGAGAGAAAACGTAAAGGAGTGAGAGAGAAAGAGTAAGGGAAGGGATAGAGAGAGACAGAAAGAGTAAAAAAAAAAGGATAGAAAGAAAAGAGAAACAAAGACCAGGGAATAAAGAGGAAATAAAATAAGAAAAATGAGGGCGGCGAAGAGAGAGGGGCGGGAGGGCGGAGAAGAATTGCGGTGAGCAGTTTGACGATATAGGCCGAGAGAGGCACCTCGAGGGTCGCGCGTGGAGAAAGAACGAGAATGGCGCGGTGGAGCCGGGAGATACGGTCTGGATATCGGAGGGGGGAGGCGGGTTCGACGAGAAGGTGGAGGTGGGCTACTGCCAGAGGGAGGAGTAGATCATGTCTTCTGAGAGAAGGCAGAATTAATTTTGTGTGACGCGAGATCCCTTTGAGAATTTCACTCGAATCCGGGTGGAAAGGACGATGAGAAATCAGCCACTAGGTTGCTGGTATGAGTCTATGGAGAACGAGGGAGAAGGAGGAAGAAATGAGAGCGTGAATATATTGTCGCGTGAATAGAGAGAGAAG